TGTCCCATGGAACAAGTTGCGGCGTCACCATACCAATTCCGAACCTTGAACTAGCCAACTAGAACTTGTCTCGACGTTATACCTCAGCAATCCGTACCTGTCAATGCCAAACCCGGATTACTCAATCAGGCTCGCTGTAACTCTTACCATACCGAAGCCGAACCTGATATAAACATTCGGGGTTCCCGTGCCTCGCGCCGTGTCGATACCGACCCAGTACCAAGCCTGGAAATGATGCTGTGGCGTGTACCACGCCAATGCCGAACCGATACTGCACCCGAAATATGTCGAACTTGGCAAGATGCAGCGGCGCGGTAATAGTACCGAACCTGAAGTAAACCGCCGCAATGATCCCGAACCTGAAAATAAGCTGCCACAAAGGTTCCGAAATAAATCGTCGTGAGGGTGTCGAACCTGAAACGAAACGCCGCGATGCCACCGAACCTGACCAAACCCGAAATCCAGTTCTGGGCTGTTGCGCCACGCGGATGCCGAACCCGTACAACCATGCCATGATAATTCCGTACCTGTCCCGAACCTGATATAGAATGCCGCAACGTTTTCGGACCTGAAAACAAACTATCGCCGATGTTCTAAATCTGGAATAATTGTCGTAGTGGCTCCGGTCCTGAGAATAAATCACCGCAGCTGTCCCAAGCCTGAAAATAAGTCACCGTAGTGAAACAACTGTCACCATGCCCATACCGTACCTGAAGCACGTCAGACACCGTAGGACGTACCCACTCCGTAACAACCCTCGTATCCGTACCGAACCAAACACCATAGTCGACCCAAGGTAGCACCACCCCATGCTGTCCATGCGCTCCCGCTCTCAGAACATCCCAACTGCGGTAATGTTAGTAATCAAGCAAGCCGGGGAAAGYGACACAGGGAACCTCGACCATCGRYAGTAGTGAAAACTGTTAAAAATCCGGGGAAGATGTTCAATCGGGGCAAGAGCTGATGGCGGGTAATCGAGGCGAAATTAGGCCAATTAGGCCAATCTCCCAATAGTCATGGGTTCCTGTCCCTTTCATCGTTTTTCATCATTCTTCCGTTTCCTTAATTCTATCGTCGGAAATAGTAACTTAACCGTTAGTTCCCCAAAATTAAATTCCGTGAAAGTTTAAATAAATGGCCGAATTCCTTTTGTTTCTCTTCYCTTTTACAATTTYTAATCTCTTCCTATGTTTTTAATTTYATTGCCGGGAACATAAAATAGCAAGGGTATTCCCCCTTGAATTAAATGCCGTGAAAAATAAAGAAATTAAGGGATATTATGTTTTTCCCTTCTCCCCTACTAGTCTTAATCCCATTTCCCCATCTTTAATTATGGTACTAAAATAGACAAAAATTTGAGGCCTCATTTCGGCCCCGGTCGTATGCCGCAAAAACGTTGCGGCGAGGTAAGTTCCCGAGATGCCTCTCCGCGGCAGGCCAATCCGGGTCTAACCCTGTGAACGGCCGGAAATGACGGTCCGTAGATGTGCCGAGTGCGGCCACCCATCTCGCCATCTTTGAGGGTTACCCGTAAGGTTCAGCSCGCCCAAAATCAAGGGCGCCCTGAGCTCCCCTAATTTCTGCTGCCTGGTCTAACCAGAGTACCGTAAAAACTCGGACTCGTCTTTGCGCCTAAGTCCCAAAACCGTAGATTTCAGGCGGCGCACTGCTTGTGGTCGCCCGACAGTTAGCCTGGACCACTTCTCGACGCCTCCGTCGAGCCCTAACCACTTTCGTTAGACGAAGCCGACGAGCTTTAGGGTGATTGCCCGTAAAGGACGCCCACGTCGGCGTTCAATTGTCTTATGCTGAAGTCTGTTTTGAGTTCTAGGGCTAAGTAGATGTTTTTTGACTTCCCTTCTCCGTCGGGTTCTCGGCCTTGGTAGGATCCTCTTTTTCTTTTGTCGTTGGCCCGAGAAGGGTGCCGTCCCGCCAGTTTGTCTAATGCGGACTCTCCGTCTGGCCCTCTTGAGCACGAATAACCATTTCTTCTCTCTTCCTAGAGCTAACCCTTTGACCTTTCTTTTCTCTATTCTTTTTCTCTTCTTGGAACTCTCTCCTGCCTCGAATCGCCTCGAGGGGGCTCCATCCTCGATTTTGGCTTTTCCTTTCCCTTTCGGGCTTGTCCGCGATAAGGTGGGTGCAGGCCTGGGTCTAAACAATTTTAACCTAGCACYCGCCACTGGGTCSTTCCACTTGGATCCGTCTAATTTTGCAATCATATATGCACCCAAGTCGRGTGCCTCAACCACTCTGTAAGGTCCCATCCATCTGTTGGCGAGTTTTCCGGTCCAGGTCTTTTCCAGTGYTGCGTCGTAGAGAAGRACCATATCTCCTACGCTCACCCTCTCTTTCTTGATTCTCACGTTCTTATCCCATCTCTCTTTTCCTTTGTCCCTCTCCACTGCCAGGCGATCTGCCGCCGTCATAAGGTTGTCTTCCAAACCGTAGGCTATCTGTCTTGYTCGGGCAGTTATGAGTTCTTCTCTGGACATCTTCTCCGCCCAGTCGACGGTTGTCCAGCTGTCGACGTGAAACTCTATAGGGAGCGGACAATGCCGCYCAAACCACAAGGTGTATGGTGGGTATCCAGTGCTAGCSCGGACCGTGACGTTGTCCGCCCATATTGCGKATYGAAAATATCGTGGCCAATCACTGTCCTTACCCTTGCACCACTTAGATAGTGACGCTATCAGARTCWGGTGCCCCCTTTCTACTGGGGAGTTCGACTRTGGGTGGTAGGCGGWGGCTATCGAAACTCTCRCCCCGGCTGTCTTGAACACACTYTGAACCTCGTCAGCTAGAAACTCCGCCCCTCTGTCCATCACTATCTTGCTGACACAACCATAMCTAGATAAGTACTTCAKGACGAAGTTCTTTACTTCCTTTGCCGTCTTACTCCTGATGGGTCTACCGTCCACGAACCCAGTGAAATCGTCTCGTATGTTCACGACGTAGTTCATATTGCCTACCCCCTTCGGCATCTTCACCAGATCGATGTGTACCTTCTCTCCTGGTCTGGTGGGATAGGATGGATGGAGAGGCTCTTTGTATTTCACAAGAGYTCTCTTCTGRCATTCCTCGCAGGTCATAMAGTATTTCTCGAYGTCCTTATACTGTCCTTCCCACCAGTACAACCTGCGTACCTTTTCGTAGGTTCCTTTGACTCCCCTGTGTCCTCCGACTACCCCGTCGTGAAGCTCYGCAACTATYGTYTGTCTCTCCTCAGGGTCACAGACTACTCRTAAGGGCATCCCCGAGCYGACCGGCCTTCGAAATAGATGGCCGGCTCTRAGGMAGTATTGCGCCGCTTGTCTCMGGATATCTGATTCTTGACTCTCCTCTCCTGACAGGTGTAGCCCGATCGTTCGGTACTTGCMCTCRTAAAGGTTAACCAGAAATCGTTTGGCGTGTCTCGGCTCTGCCAATGTCAGGGCCCCAGCTACTATCGGGCGCTCRACCTCAAGAGGGATGCGCGAAARCYYATYTGCCACGACATTTTTAGTGCCAGATATCCTCTCAACTGCGTAATCATATAGYCGAATCCGTATCAGCCATCGAGCAATGGTCGGGTCCGTCAGGCTAAAGTCCTTCTGGAGGACATAGGCAACCGTTGWGGGATCTACTCTCAAGATGAACCGACGYCCATAGATATAGTGTCTGAACGTGTCCAAACACCACAGAACGGCTAACACTTCCTTCTTGAATTGAYTGTWGTTTCGTTCCGCYGTATTAAGTGTCCTACTCTCAAATCTTAAYKGTCTTTCCTTCCMTTCAGCGTCCTTCTGAGACAGCAGCCCTCCAACTGAACAAGGTCCAGCATCYGTGGATRCTATGAAGGGTCTCTCGGCCTCATCGTCAAAGAATGGCACRCCCAGTACGCRTCCTCCCTCTTTARATTCGTCCTTAAGCTCTTRCATAGCGAGTTCCTGTGAGGAATCCCAGTATAATTTTTYAGTCTTTCGTAGGAGYAACCTCAATGGCTCAGCCTTCTCCGCATACCCCYGTATGAATATACGTCAGTAACCGACYACTCYCAGAAACTGYCGGACCTCGGTCGGACTATGTAACGGTGAAGGCYAGTTCAGGAGTTTRTCTAACTTCGYCKGATYTGCTCGRCGTCCTCTCRWGTCGCAGATAAAGCCCAAGATCTTMATAGTCGAGACGRCCMATCGGCTCTTTGTTCCACTGACCRTTAAATTCGCWTCGTCCAGTTGCTCGAGTACCGCGCAAATATCTGTTAGRTGCTGCTCGACGAATCTTCTAACTCTAGGTACAACCTCTRTCTCATCCTTGTYTACTGACCCTTTTATAGGAAAGTCATCCAGAAAAGCTTCAACCTTATCAGGGATGAAGTCCTTGAGGACGGCTACCATGGCTCTCTGAAAAACGGCCACCCCATTAGTCCAACCCATAGGGACAACCATCATCTGTATCAGTCTCAATGGTGTGTGCRTAGCCGTGAGGTGCCTGTCCCWAGGATCAAGCGGTACCTCATCATAGCCTAAGAATAGATCACAGACCGAATAAATTGACYTGCCTGCGGCGCCTTCAGCCAGTAAATCGGCGTGTGGCACGGAGCCCACGTCTCGTATCGTCTCCTCGTTGACTTYCTGAASGTYCTGGATCCATCGGATCTTGCCATTCGGCTTTTGTAGGAAGAACCATCGATTTGCATAAGGGCTATCAGACGGTTCCGCAACATGGGAAACCATATTTTCCTTCAGGAAAGCGATAACTTCTTCCTTCTCCTTCTRGGYGTATTTCMATCCTGCGTCATTCCAAGGAACATGTGGAATCGTATAAATTCTTGCTGGCTTTGCGTATCGAGGGTCAACCCTACCGCGCTCCGCGTCGCTGAAGGCTATAGCCTTATCGCACGTCTTTAGGATCTCTATCACACGTTCTTGCTCTTGTGGGGTCAGATTTCCATCTCCGATGTTCATCCCTGCTATTCTCTCTCCCGTTAGGCGTTGCGGCTCCTTCTTCTTTCTTTTTTTGATTTCCTTTGCGATCTCTTCTTCCGATATCCATTCCAGTGCAGATCGCTCGCGRCCCACAGYCGCTGGYTTAACTTTTTGTGCTACTCGCTTGTGTCGCTTGGGTAGCCCCCCATAGGGTGCCGTGCCCTTAAAAAAAACACAGATACCACCCCGCCAAATTTCTCATCTGTCTCCTTTGGGTACGAGTTGCCGTCCACTATCAGTCGGCTTCCTAAATCTTCCACCTCCACGATCCGACCCTGTTCCTCTGTGAGCAGTGACCCGTACTTTTTCTCACGAAATCGCACCGCGCGGCCGGAGATAGGTAATGACTTAATGTGATCACTGGGTCTTGCTCCCATTGCGAGAGCTGCTCTGTTCCTCAGGTCCCGAGGCTCCACCGTCTCAATCATAACCCGCGTCCCATCTAGCTTCTTAATGGACAATGTCTGGCTCCCATCCGGTCGCTCTATCGTCACCGCATGCACGTGGCTCAACCACGTTCGTCCCAAGAGCAGATCGGAGCTACAGTTCTTGACTGCAAAGACAGGCAGGGTCACTCGTACCCCTTGGACCTCTATGACTGCCTTGTGACAAACCCCAGTGATCTGTTGCTTTCTCCCATCAACAGTCTCTATTTCGAATAGGTATGACCTATCGAGGTCCAATCCAACCTGTACTGCCAGATCCTCGTCTATAATGACAGCCTCACTGTCGTTATCGATCACAACATCTAGTACCGCTCCATCGTTTATGATCCTCTCCACGGCCCCACTACCAAGTATGTAAAACTTGTCTGGAGGCACACCTTCCATCCCATCAAGAAGGACTATCGCCAAGCGATCCGCTCTGGTTGTCACCCCCGTTACTGCTACGGTAGGAGCTTCCGCCTTAGGAGCCCCCTGAGCCTCCTCTGATAGAGGTACGCGAGTCTTCCGCATAATCATCTGTAACTCATCGAGAGCCGGCTTCGATGCCGCCAGATACTCCAGAATAGAGCATTGCATGGGCTGCGGAAGGGCCCGTCTCAGTGGCTCGACCGTGTCAATCTCATCCAGCGAACTCTTCATCAATAACTTCTTTACTCCCCGCTTTCGCGGCGAAAGAATAACCTCCTCTCCATCGATCCGCTGTCCGCCATCCTTCTCCGCCATCACGTAATCCGTGTCGGTCTTCTTCGATGCAGACCCTCTCGCGGACTTGGTAGTTACCACCCTTATGAGTGTGGTCGCCATATCTCCTTCGAAAGTTATCTTGATGCTTTGGCTCCTAAGCGACTCCTTTCCTTTACTCGGCTTTACTTTCCTTGCTTCGACATTCTCCTTCATCGAGGGCAACATCGATACATCTCCCAGATCATCTGCCCATTTGACGTACTTGCGCTCATCAAGCACGACAAGGCCTTCATCTATTGCTCGTTTGAGATCCAGGCAATCTCTCTTGATATAATCATCCCCCTCTGCAGTAAACGCAAGAGTTCCTGGGTGTGGGTGGCCTGTCGTCTGCGCCTCTGGAGGTCTAACCTCTCGCTGCTCTCGGGTCAGGGGACTTCGGATACGGGTCAGCCGAAGCGCCATATCCCCCTCTCTCATTCCTGCCGCGCGAATCATTGTGGCGGTCTCCGTATTCGTATCACCCACGTGAATCATCGCGTCGGTCTCCTCGGTCGTACCTCCCGCGTGAATCATCACGTCGGTCTTCTCGGTCGTACCGCCCGCGTGAATCATCGGTCCGATCTCCTCTCTCATATTTGCCGCCCCTGTATCCGTCTCGATCCGACCTCTCATATCTGTCGTTTCTATGCCCATCACGGTCCGATCTCTCATATGTACCATCCCTGTATCCATCTCGATCCGACCTTTCATATCTGTCGTTTCTACGTCCATCGCGGTCCGATATCTCATATCTACCATCCCTGTATCCATCTCGCCGGCCCTGATCCGACTCCCATCGGCCTCAAGAGTCGCTTCTACCCCCGTCAGGCTCATAGCGAGGGCTACGCGAGTAGTCATCCWGTCTCCTAGCAYGCCSATACATCTCGCGAGTCCTACRGTCCCGGTCTATCTCATCATCCATACGTCGCCATGACTCATCGTCTCTCTCCCTTTCCCTCGTACGATAATCAGTCAGTGTTCGAGGATTTCTATCCTCGACACTCCTCYWGGAATMAGTKTTCCTCCGGTCCCAGCGAAGTGAATAGGGCCCTCCGGGCTTGTCCCGGTATGCCGTGGCTCCTGTGGTGGTTACAATTTCTGTAACCTGTCTGGTCAACCCCTTTACCATGTCCCTTATCTCCTTCACTTCTTCGGCYACGRCTTCATTCTTCTCTGACCAGGAATGATCCTTGAAATCTGGACATCTATCGGTGGCATACTCCTTGTAGARGGAGAAGTCACGCCTCCTCATCCCTCTCCACACCAAGTCCTTGTAGTCATATGCCTCTGCCTTTATCGCGAGCTTCAGGACTTCTGGGAAGTCAAGCTTGTCGCGCGAAAGATCTCTAAGTATACTCTTTTGTTTATCTTTGGATAGGTGTCCGATGAAGACAGTACAACGCTCGACCTTTGAGATCTTCCCCTTCTTCATCAGCACGTTGGAGATCTTCAGGAAACGCATCCCAAATGCCCGTACCCTCTTATCTTCATCTTGAGTCATCATCTCCAGGTCCTTGATGGAGTACTTGTTATCCTCCAATTTGTAAAGCTCAACGAGGTTCTTCTTGTACGTAGTCCATTTCCCATCCTTCGGTCGAGCTTCCTTAACTTCCCTATCGAGACTTGGGTCCACATTAARTAGGAAGTTCTTTATAATCTCTTCCTCTGACCACTRACTCCGACTTGCATGAAGCTCYCACTTCTCCAGATATTCTGTGATGCCATAACCCCTAAAAGKAGGTGGCTCAGAGGCCTTGYGCGTAATAATATAGCGATCCTTGCTCTCGTAAGGGACCGGATGCGACTCCCCTGTCTGGGGGTCGAACACTCGCCTGGGCRRYACCCTGTCTCTATCTCTGTCCCTCCAATAGGAATCCCTCGAACTCTCTCGCCAGTCGTCTCTGGGCTTATCCGCCATGGTCTCCCTCCGCTCATACTMRGGGGAGCGTCGTCTCGTCGCTTCTCGTCGACCGCTCGAGGTTCCCGTCTTCAGTGCCTCCYGCGGCTCCGTCACGACCGGCTCGCCCATTACGTCGGGCTCTCCGTCATTGGTTTRGTCGGCCCATCTCAGCGSTGTTTCCYGCCTAATTCGTTCCTTCAGATCCCTCAGAGCTCGRTCSGACGATGTCCTGTACTCCTCCCCCACTTCACCTGTGRTTGGTTGTGGCCCCATCGCGTCTGGTTCCATAGGCCACCTGAAGACGCAGTTAGGCACTCTCGCCGRGTGTTACAGCCCGGACTTATGACAGTTGCTGCAGYCCGGACCTRTGACAGAACTCGCAGCYCGGACCAGTTTCCTTGTCACGGTTCACGCTCGTCACCACCCCTAGCTCTCGACKGCCTTGATCACTACCACCAGTACTCGRTTCCGRTCGCGGATMTCGTGCTCTCCCTCTATCCCAAGAGTCCCTGTGTYTAGGTAAACCTCCCYTTCGGGATCRGTCAACAAGGCCSCGCCTCTCCRAATSTGCAGTACACYCGTGACGGGATCTCTATGCCTGCGGCAAATCGCAGTCCCAAGCCTAGCCAATGTCTCCTGATCAGCCCYCCTCAAGAGCCTCCGTGCGTTTATCTCCGTCCTCCTTGCTAGGTTTCCTAGCCCGTCCTGAATCGGGTAGCTTGCCAAAGGAGGAAGCTCTCCTCMTACTGCCATCCAAAAGTCGCTCGCTGACCTTTCTRACCTCCACTTTCTTTCCAAGAGCTTCGAACCTYTATTTCTCCTTCTTTRACTCCCAGACGGCTATGAGGTCATCTGTYTAGTACCTGAGGTAAGTCAGTGCTATAACCACTTGTTACCTCATCGCCGACARCTCCAATAGGTCATAGAATGTCTCAAAGTCCTCCTTATCTCCACTATCCTCTATGGCCTCTAAAGTCTTTATCGATTCTTTCCAATACCGATCGTGAGCAGCTAGCATCCTGAGTATTGCTCCATCTGTTACAACTCTCCCTAGCTTTCCAGCTTTCCTGGCTTCGCTTATCTTCAACTTCTCAGCCTCCWTGGTCGTCTCGTACCATGCCCTTATCCGAGGCCGCCCTTCGAAGGGTGTTACTCGGAGTACATATTTTATCCTCCGTCCTCCTTCTATTCCAATCCAAAGTCCTRWYCCCCTGGCCTCACGCAGTGCWYGGCGGACACACTCTGCCTCCTCAACTATGCACAGTCTGGTATGGAGCTGGAGCTCTACGATCACTAACACCAATGGTCCGTCCAGTCTCCCTACCACATGCAATGAGTACCGATCCGTCGTGTGTACTGCAGTCCCGCTCATGTCCTGTCGCTACCTCCCTTCGTTACCTTGTCCTCCATCGTCACGCCCTCTGCAGATCGCTCACTGGTTCCTTCGCCTGATACGCCCCTAGCCTTTACCCTCTCCAGAAAGTCTGATCTCCACGCCTGGATAATCTCTCTTTCTTCCCTAAACAGACTCTCCAACTCTCTCGTCATGAGCTCAGCCCTACGCAACTTGTCCTCATCCTGGCACGACCAGATCTCCCTTAACTTGTTCCCCAACTCCTTTACCTAGTTCAAGAGTGGCTCTTTAATGCGCTCTCTCACTCTTTCGACTGCCTCACTCTCCTCTTCCATACTCAGTCTTTATTTTTTCCCAGCTCATCCTCTCACCCTTGCTCTAGCCTCCGCTACCGTCTCGTCGTGGAAGTGCTCCGCATGCATATAGCCATGCGACCATATCATCACCTCATAGGAAATCGAGGTCTGGAAGGTCACCCGCGCCAGTACATCAACTCTATGCTAGTGGATCAAATCTCTGGCTCGTTGCCGACACTCCCTCGCCGTCAAGTCCTCTTCTAGGTACGCTCGGAGAAGTACTGTCATAGTGTACCCTGTGCTTACCAGTTGCTCTCCTACACGCATCACTGTGGCCGTCCTCCCCGACATTCCCTAAGCTGCGGCCTCGAAGAAAAACCTCACATCCTCTAGCCCCACGTAATCGATCTCCGCTTGTCTCCTGCAGTACCTAATCAGATCGACTGGCCTCAAACAGTCCACCAGGCTAGTAACGTCTATGATGTCGTCAAGCGTTTCTCTACTGGGTGACCCCCACCTCACACAAATGGCGTAGTATACTTCCCGGAAACGGGGCGCTAAGCCCTCCCAGAGCGCGTAAAGTGTGTGGTCCACTGCTCTACTCAAACGTTCTATACTCCCATAGGTCTGCCCTATCACGAAGGTAGGAAGTCCGAATCGCCAATCCTCTCTCGGGTAGAGGGTCGGGTGCGGAGGACCGTATACCAAGCGGCTCCAAYGCGTCCTCCCTCCAGAGAGTCTCGCTAGTTGCTGATTAACGATCACTCTGGCCAACGACTCGCTCCTCCACCAACTCCTGCTCGCCCCTGTGAGCGTCTGTCCTATCTCTAAATCGTGTGCTCTATCCGCTATCAGATGTCCGACCCCTTCTAGATCATGAGTCCTCTCGGGTCGTTTGTCTCGTAGTATCACTGTCCAAAGGAAGAGTCCCTCTGCGAGCCACGTTCCCAAGTATCGTGTCGGAACACGCCCTGTTCCTTCTAACGCCACAGGAAGTGAAATGTCGTATCCAACCGCCGTCTCTCTGGGTCTCACAAGCTTCCTCACGCTATACGATTCGGACTCTCGTGAGAGAACATAGGCTAACCAGGCTACCGAGTCACTCCTCATCTCCCCTCCGACTCTCGATCAACATCACTCTACTCCCTCCGATGCACCCTATCTCTCGACGTTGCTAACTCCTCAGACAACTTTCCCACTCAGTTCCAGTATGGTCGAGTAGGTGCTGTGCGCTCTCCCGTCTGCTCCGTGGAAGTAGATAGTAAACTCGACGTACCTCTGGCTCCTCCGTATCTCCAGGGCATGTTCCGTCATGAGTCCGATCTGTCGCTCAACAATCTCTAACGCCTCTCCTTCCCAGCCACCCGTCCTATCTCGTCGCARGAAAAGAGTCACCCTCAGTATATCCCGGTCTGCCATACTCTCCACTACTCCCTTCTCTAAACCTCACTCGGATATGTTCTGCCTCTAGTCGTCTCATGCTTATGGCATATCCTCATCTGTGTCCTCATCTACCCTCTACCCCCATGGGATGTCCTCCTGTCCCTCGGCCTGAAGGAGATGACCTCAACCGTCCTCCTGYGGCGCCTCTCCACCTACCTGCTCCTGTCGCTCAGCCCGCGCCAGATCTCCCCAGTCCTTGTCCTGGTCGCCCCAAGGGTCTATGTCATCGAAGTCCTCCCAATCCCGATCCTCGGCGTACCACGCAAGACCGTCAGCCTCTGGATATATCTGCTGATAATACTCCTCAACCTCCCYGGTCGAGATGAGATGGCCCGRCCTCTCCTCACGAGTCTCAGCTAGCAGYTGTCCCACACCAGCTAAATGATCAGTTGGCCCTCCGAGCCTCTCTCTCTAGCGCCGTCCAGAAGGCTAGGGGCTGGTACAGAGAATACAGGTCTGGGCTCCCGGTAGGTATAATGGCCCGCAGGAACTCAATCAACTGGAGCCCTCGCTCACCTACAAGCGGCCCCGCTACAAACTGCGCATACAGCACCCAGTCCCTGTCAGCGTACCCTCGGCAAAGGCCGTCCAAGTCAAGAGCTGCAAAGTAGATCTCACCCAGACGTCTAAGTCCCCAAAGCTCCTCCGCCACGAAGCACGAAAGTGTCACACGCAGTCGACTACTAGGATATGGGAAGTGTCCTCCAATCCTCAAGGTCGTCGTCACTCCCAGAACGCCCCCGTGCAGCCGCTCTACCTCGTCCCGCGCRGAGTCTGCTCGGGCCAGTAAAACCCTCTTCGCGCTCTGTTCCTCTCGCCAATGATCGTGAACGATGGCGTGAAAATAGACTGTGGCTAACACCTCCCGTGAGTAGTAAATGTGGCCTACTACCTTTATGYCAGTCGTGCCTGGTCGTCGCCACCTCAGATTGTCTAGGTCAAACRTCTCGATGACATACGTCMACAAGTGTACGTCTGGGCCTAACACCGTCGATGACCATCGGCTCTCTATCGCATCCGCGGAAACCCCTCTGGCCGGCAGATCCAGCGCCACCTTCCCTGGCGCTACTGTCTCTGGAGGTCTAGGCCATCTAGCGTCGTCGATCTGAAGCTCCACTCCACTGGCCTGCTCTATCATCGATCCGWTCTCGCCAATACCAGTAGCTAAGCTCACTCAACCGCCGYTCTAATGAGCTCCTCTRCCTCCTACGCCCGGAYGGCTACTCCTATTATGGGGAAGTGGGCGTCCGTAACGTYGATCTCCTCCTCGTCAACCTCACTCTCTGGGTCGACCCAGTCTGGCTCCCAAGCGTCCTCGTCRTCCTCTCGCTCCCAACCCTCGTCATCAAACTCGTCCTCGACACGGTATGGGGCCTGTCCTATAGCCTGGTAGTACTCCGCTAACTGATGGCCGTATATCAGAGGTCSYCCAGCGTCCTCAGTCCACCAGCTCCCSCAGTCGTCTGMGAAGAGTCGCCCAATGCAGGTCACGTACTCAGGGCCTGCTCTGAGCTCACGGTCTAGCCAATCCCAAACGCACGGAGACTGGGGCYACTCGTCGTCTATCGAACGGATCAGCTCTATAAGCTKAACCCTCTCGTCACCCCAACGAAGCCCACCGGCCGCGAKCGAATAATAGATGTAGTCGAGGTCGRCAGGCCTTCTCGCCAKAATCTTGAGATCCTGATAGGCTAGGTATATCTCGACCACTCCACCAATGCCTCCAAAGACGCTCTCTACTACGAACGTCGGAACTATCGYCCGCAGACTCCTAACGCTGTACGGGAAAAACCCATCCCGTGCTACCACCAGCTCGCCCGTGATATCTAGAGGAGGGCACCCATGAAATAGGGTCAACGGGTCGCTCGAGTCCTCCGCTCGGAAGGCAGCTACCTCTTCCCTCAGGTAGTGTTTCGCCCTGCTAACCGCGCCACTAGTCCCTGTCGTCGCGAGGCTCAGCACGGCCTCCGTAACCGCGCCCGGTCCTAAGTACAAGTAGGCCCTCACTACGCCCACTCCTTGCCCAGGCTGGTGCTCTCTGCGCGTCCAAAGCCACACGTCCTCTAACAAGATTATGGACCTCCACAGAA